GTGTATACAAATGTTAAAGTCCGCGATAATTTCTATATAATGCATTATATGGATTTTGTGGGGTTCGTTTTGCTCTGCCTTTAGTTTTCTATGTTGTGTTTTGTGTATTATTGTTTGTCTTTTGGTCTTTTTCTTTTTTTTTCATGATGTTGTCAGTTTATTTTCGGCTTATGAGTTTGAATGTCCCTATGGTATCTTTCGCCTCTCTAATATAAAATATGATCCAAATATCATAGTTATGATGCTTGAAATAGATTCCTTCAAATACATTGACATACTGACTATCATGACTATAGCACAATTGAAACACATATTTCATAAATACTGACTTTTTTTTAAATATCATATTTTCGACTATTTGAATTTGAATGCCCCTTGATATGTTCCGCCTCTCTTAGGAATATATATACTTTATGTGCATTGTAGTGATGTATTATAGTAACATTTGTTGCATATATCATACATGAATTTGTTTAATTTCTTGAATGGTACATGTGGTAGTAAATAAGTATTGAACATACAAATGATAAAGAATGGTAATTTCAAATCTTGATTTTTCATTAATTCACTATGACATTAACATTTCAGTTTTTTATAAGGAGTGAAACGTTTGTTGCTTAAGTTATAAAGAGGAAATGTATTACTGGATTATTGATTGGTCCTTTTTATTTGGGCGGTCAGTAGTACAAGTAATGGACTTGATATGTTCAACACTTCTATATTAAAAGAAAATAAGTGATTTTTATTTCGCAAATACACTTTTTAATTTTTAAACAATTGTTAAATTTTACTGATAACAGTATGAATTATACTTGTTTTAGTTTAAACAATATTTTATTTTAAAAAATTACAATTATACATTAGAAAATCGGGGATTTAAAAACAAGAAGAAGTTATATAAATCCGTCTCCCTTAACAAGATGACAATATTGAGAACATGATGTAAAGTAATCCTATATAATATAGTTAGCAATTAGCATAACATGATCATTCTGGGGTTTTTCGGTTGCTCAGAAGTCAGTTTGATTAAAAGATGTTATCAACTGATTTCTAATTGTGGTCTTAGCTGTAAATATAATATGTATATGTTCCACCAAAATAAGGTTAAATTACAAAGTTTCAAAATATAAATCGACATAAAAATCAAAAGATTTATAAACCAAATCTCCCTGTTTCCTTCGTTTTTCTCATCACTGAGGAGTTCTCTTACTGATTATAATATTTGTATATTGACATTTCCTGGTAGTGTGGAAATGCTTTGCGCTCTAATGAGTCTATAACTATGACATTTAAGCAGGTAGCGATTGCTGCTCTCAATTTGTCCACATATACAGAGGCTGGAATGAACAATATTTGTTCTGGAAAAGGTGTTCATTGAAGCCACTGAAGTTCAACCGGAGTTTGGCCTTTTCTACAACCAGTATAATAATATGAAAGAACTTTTTTTATTATAACGATTTAATAATTTTTAAATGTGATTTTTGATGGATTACATTATACATCTTGTGGAAGGCTATTCCATTCACGAATAACAGACGGTAGGAAGGGATTTTGATAAAAAAGTTCAAAGTTTGTGTTTTGAGCATTTAATGCCCTTCTAGTATTATACCAATAAACTTGGCAACGTTGTTGAGGTATGAGATTGTAAAGATAATCAGGAGCTAGATCATGAAACATGTCGTGAAATTTGATAATTTTATGTCTGGATCTTCTTTTACTAAGAGGTACCCAGCCAGTATCACAATAAACTTTAGTTTTCGAACAAAGTTTGGTGGCTCCTTAGACAATACGAGCCGCCACTATTTGGATGCTTTCTAGTTTGTCTTTCAAATAAGTTGGTATGTTATCCCACACAGTATCAAAATATTCGAATATAGGCCTGATGAAACTGATATGAATAACTTCCAGATTATTACGTGATAACTTAAATTCTAATTTTAAGTTTCTAATGAGATTTAAGCGCGGAGTAGCTTTATCGATAATACAATTCACATGACTTTACCAACAGCCTTTTTCTTGAAAAATTAACCCTAAATGTTTATGTTTTTAACCTCTTGTATAAGCGTTTTATTCATATATATTGGTGGGTTATGGGGTATTACTCTTTTGCTTGATATGGTCATGGTTTTAGTTTTTCTTGGACTAAAACTAACGAGCCATTGTTGAGACCATAGGTGAATTTTTTCTATATCTAAGTTCATAATTTTAGCCGTACCATACTCGTCCTCAACAATAATATATAATGATGTGTCGTCACTAAAAAGTCTTATGTTGCATGATTTGTCATATAACATACATGTAATATCATTTATGAATAATAAAAATAATATAGAGCGTAAAATGGAGCACTGGTGACACCGGCTTTAAAACTATAAATGTCAGAGGTCTGTCTTCCTATGACAATATTTTGTTTCCTCTCGGATAAATAAATTTCGAGCCAATTTCAGGAGATCCCTGTTATTCCATATTTTTCTAGTCTATGGAGGTGACCTTTATGCCAGACCCGGTCGAATGCTTTTCTGATATTACAAAACACAACTTTCCATAGTCAAGGGCTTTATCAATATAGTGAGTCATACATGTATATAAATGAATTGATTCACAGTGATAACTCCAGGTATAAAACCTGATTAGAACTGTACAATTATCTGATAGCGGGAAAGAAAATTAGATAAATATTTAAAAACACATTTTACATCGTTTTACCAATAATAGATAACAGAGAGATATGTTTATAGTTTGATAAAGTTTCTTAGGAAACCACGTTTGAATACTGGTATTACATTTGATATTTTTCAGTCATAAGGATAAGTGCACAATTGTAGTGATTTATTGAACAACATAGCTAGGGGATAGATAAATTCGCGAGCCGCACATTTAAAAAATCTTGGTACTAATGTTGCCAGGTCCTGTTGACTTAGACACGTCTAACAAGAGGATTGATCATAAACTTCCTCTGGCGTTATAATTATATTAATATCTAAAGTATGAATGACATCATATAAATTTGAATTTGGAATATTTGTAGGTGCGACGTCAATGCTTGTTCACGCAAAATATCATTTGCCTTTTCATTATTATCGTGCAAGTAGGTACCATTTAATAAGATAGGGAGTAGTCCAAGGAGTTGGAACGAAGCCCTGCCAAGTTTCTCAATTCTTCCACCAATTCTTGATGGAATCTACACGTGGATTTTTTTATACACATTATTATTCAAAATACAGGGTGTTTGCCTGTAATCTGATTGACACATTGCTGATTTTTCTTAAAGTTTACCCAAGACTCAAAAGTGTTGTATTTTTTAACTTTTTGTGCGAACGTTTCCGTTTACTGATTTTTCGCCTTATACATGCCGTCATCCAAGGAGGATCTTTCGTGCGAATAATAATCAGTTAACTAGGATAGAGAAAGGAAACGGGGAATGTGTCAAAGAGACAACAGTCCGACCAAAGAGCAAAACAAAAACAGCCCAAGGCCACCAATCGGTCTTCAACGCAGAGAAAAATCATGCACCAGGAGGCGGGCTTCAGCTGTCTTTTTTGTTGTTAGGGTAGTTTAACTTCTCTACCACGCCCGATCTGTGGTTTGGTTCGATGTTTTTCTGTTTTTTATCGATTTGATGAGTTAAGCACTTTTCAGCTGATTTTTATAGCTTGGTATTATGTTACAAACATATTTAACACCGCCACATTCCTTACGTAAAATTGAGAATGTGCATTCCAAATGTCAGGAGCCTGTGGTTCAGTGGTTGTCGTTGGTTCATGTCGGTCATATTGGATTTTCTTAGATTGTTTTGTTTTAAATTTGGCGGTTAGTTTTCTAAATAAATTTTTCATGTCGGGCCCTTTTATAGCTGACAATACGGTATGTTTTTTTTTCAATTGTTGAAGGCCGCATGGTTGCCTATAATTGCTTACATCCACTTCATCTGAACTTTGGTGGATAGTTGTCTCATTGACACACATACCACATCTCCTTATTTCTATATATGTAGTTCAAACAAATGGAAGCCACACTAAACTCCGTAACATACAAATGAATCAAAATAAATAAACCCAACAAGACTAACAAAGGCTAGAGGTTCCTGACTGGGGACAGGCGCAAAAATGCGGGAGGGGGGGAGGCTTAACCCTCACTTATACTTCTAGCCAATGTGGAATAAAAAAAACATTCAGCAATACGCACAGTAACACTCAGTTTAAAAGAAGTCCATGTTACAAAAAATAACAGAAGAAACTAAGTAAAATGACAATGATCAACATAAATTAACAAAAAAATACTAGCAGTTATTGACATGCCAGCTCCAGACCTCAATTAAAGTAATCGAAAGATTATGTCTAAATCCTCTGAAAATCAACCACAATCCCTCTCATTAGGGGGTTAGTATCATGCCATCATAAATTATGTGAGAAGAACATAACCCGTATCATGCCAACAAATGGTTTAAGGATAAATGTGTTTATTTCCGATGCAAAGACCCTTTGAGTGAATAAATATCAATTAAAAGAAATGACTTTAATGACTTGACAACAGTATCGTAGCTATATCCATTGTGAATAAGTCTGTTTAAAGGTTTGGTTAGCTTGTGATGTGAACGACGACTTTTTGTGCTTTGTATAGGACATTACCATGAAAGATAGGATGTGAAATACCTGAACGTATAAGGTGTCAGCACTTTAATTTGTATTTATGAATGATGTCCTTGTACCGATGATAAAATTAAGTAAAAGTTTTGACAAGTTTGTAATATTGAAAACCAGGTGAAATAATTTTTAAGTACTACAGAGATTTCTTTCGTTAAAATCAAATTCGTTGTAACATAAACGAGCAAACCGGACCATTTAAGTATATAAACACCAAACGATGGTGCCCAGGGAACGTCACTATCAAAAAGCGGATAGTTAACAAAAGGAAATGAAAAAAATCATCACTTTTATCGTAAATTTTAGTTTAAGCTTCCCGTTAAAGATATCGATATTAAGATCCAGAAAAGAAATGTGTTCATTGTTAGTATTAGCTTTATTTAAAGTAAGAGTAATGTATCCCAGTCTACTTGTCTTAACTCCTCATAGTAGCAATCATAGTGCCCTTTTTCAAAATCCAAAACTTTACGCTTAAATTGAGTGTATTTCAGTTTATGCAATTTAGAAATTTTGCTTACTGGATAACGGAAGCTTTCAAAATATTTTCACTCACTTCATGATATGCTAAAATATGGATAATAATGAGTGATGAGGAATTTCACAATAAAATGTTGGCTCGATAATTACTTGGTGCATACCATTATCTTAACACGATTATATCACAAGAAAACAATATAATGAAAAAAACATATCTCGGTTTACACAAAAAGGTATCTCGATACGTCTTTATACAGTGGAAGTTAAACGTGTACTTGACAATGGTATTGTGGGAAGTTTATCTTATTCAAATAGTACATAATATAATAAAGTTATTGTGGTCCCTAAAAATCTATATCAATGCAATAGTAATTAAAAATAACAGTATCCATGTCAATACATTTTTTACATGAAAGTAGAGTTGACCTCGTATAATTTACGTAATCATACTTATTAAGTACAGTATGGCATTACAAAAATGGGAAAAAAATTAATTTCACATTGTCATTTGAATTTCGCAAAAGTTCAGCTATTTCTAAGTTTGTTAAACCCTTTACTGACTTTCCATTGATTGAGGTGATGCGATCAAAGATCTTCAAAGAAGAGTGGTCTGCAGATTGACCTGAAAGAATATGTGATACGTATACACCTGTGCTGTTCTTATTGCCACCAATGAAGGAAAACCCAAATCCAGAAGAATCCCTCTTCAGTAGAATTTCTCTTGGTTCTGGCATTAGACTGAAAAAAAGAACAAATACTTAATCTTCGAACTTGGAACGATGAATAATTGTTATAGTTCACCTCGTTACATAATAATTGAATGTTTTGAACAATTAAAATAAGTGTTTGTTTTATATATATATATATATCTTTAATTGTCGAAATCCGGATATGGTGTACAAAAACCTTTGCACCTTTTGTTTGCGGTATACCATCTTTTCCGCAAGTTTTTTGTTTTCTGTTTAGTATTAAATTTATAATTAAGATCCATTTATTACATCGGTGATCCGTTTATTTGGCTTTTGCCAATGGCAGTCAGCAGGGTTTAAGAACATTTGTTGTTCGACCTGTTAGTCAAATGCGTTTTGTTAAAATTTACTTTTTCACTTTTTTGGTCTTTTGGAAAATGTTGTTTGTGCTGTATTTAGACCCCTCTAACAAGAAATTTGTTTTGCATGCACACGTATAAAAATTGCGGTTTTTATCCAACGCAATCATAGGTTTGAATGCTGTTTTCAATTTAGACTTGTTTCTATCTATCATATATATATGTGCTCTTTTCTTTGATCAATATATTTGTATATTTTAGTGTTCTACAAAATTTGTTTGATTAATTGAATTTATTTAAATTACTAATACATGTGCGTTTTATTAAAAGAGTTTAATATTTTTTATTCGTCTATAAATGTTTCGGTATACTGCAGATATGAATGAAGATGCATGATCGCTTGCTATATTGTCACCATTTGAAATATTTGCAGATGAACATAAGCGTTTACAGTAGCATGTATGAAAGATCGTTTAACGAGCAAAACAACTACATTTGCCCCAAACAGAACTGTTTAAATTTGTTTATAACTAATATACTATACCATTATTTAAGAGTTATGTGCTTTCCTTGTACTGAATTCTATCTTATTTTATTTGATGTTCATTTTGTCAGTCAATTAATGGAAATTGAATAGGGTAATGTTGAGATCTCAACAAGTGTTTTATCTCTCCACATACTCATGTTACTGACGTAATTCAGGAACCTTGTCAATAGTTATCTCGTGTTATATCTGAATGGTTTTGTTACTTTTAGACATTTTTGGTGAAGTGTTTTTTTTTCTTTCTAATTATCGTTTGTTTTTAAGTCTACGTCTTTTTCAATTTATTTAATCAAAGTTTATCTTTTGTTAAGTTGTAATTCTGTCCACGGTTATTCCTTTGGTTGTAGCTCGTACTCTGTCATACATGTTTTTGTTTATTATTTTATTAGTTGAAATCATGCAGTTGTTTTTTTTTGTCTTTCTTTTAAATTTTCATGTTTTTTTCATTTTTTAGCATGTTATAGCTTACTATACGGTATGAGTTTTCTTATCTTTGAAAGCCAAACATTGACACTATTTGACCGAATTTGAAAGTGGCATCATACGTCAATTGTTTTCAGAAAAACCAATACAGCAGTCAGTTTTAATTTTGTTAAAGACGCTGCACAATTTATTATATCAATGGTATAGTTTTTTATTCCATCTTGTAAAACTTCATGGAAATGATTGAAACAACTCAAACCGAAATTACTACCAGATGACCGTCGAGGGAGAATAGATATGAATAGCTTTTAGTGGTCAGTACTGCTGTGTAATATATGTATTTTTCATTATATGTTCGTATTATATATGACAAAACAAATGAAATGTTAACAAAAACAGTAATTATAATCTAAGCTTACTAGTAATTAACAGTTTCCATCAAATCCATAGTTGTATTTTGATTCAAAGTATGGTTGAAATATTGTACAAGGGGAATGCTTGGAACATCTGGCTCCACTGCTTTCATAGCTTCAATTCGGCAAAGTTGTTCTTTCAGTTCCACAATTGCTAACGACAATTCTTTTTTCTGAACAGTTTTATCTAGTTTTTCCTGCATTTTTTGTAGATTGCACAGTGCAAAATCGCAAGCATCGTTAGACGGAAATGTTTTGAAAAACGTGTCTCTTGCCTTCATTACTTCTGTTATCATTGTTACAACATTCTTATCAATTTCAGACTTAAATATTTCACCTTGATCCGATATCTCTTTCTCAACATTTTCACTTTTTTTATTATACGAATCTCGTATATCTAAAACATTATAAAATTTCTGCTTATAATTCAGATTATACCCTTGAAGGATGACAGATGCTTGCCTGTGTAAATTCAAAAATACTTCATCCAGATCGTCCATTATATGCCCATTATGGTCTTTGACAAGACAAACTTTACATAAAGGAGCATCACAATCCACACACATAAATGTGTGATTTTCTGTATGTTCACATTTTATCTTGTCTTCCGTGAACGCTTCTTTACTGTTTAGTAATGTATGATATTTTGAAATATTTGACCTCAGATGCGCCTGTTTGCACATCTCACAGAAATTTTGTCTGCACTGCCGGCAGTAATATGCACCTGTTGCTTGAACACAAATTTCGCAATTTAATGTTGGCTACTGCGCCATTTTGTTGTGTGTATGAACTCCTTAAATATTTATCTATATTTAGTAGTTACCTCTTATATATCAAACTAGTTATATCAAGCACAGGTAAGTTAAGTAAGTGTCAAGTGTTTATTATGTATTATAGATACAATGAATAAGCGTTGATTCTTGAAGAAGAAACCATGAGTCCGGAGGGGGAATGGATTGATTTTCCTGAATCAACTCTTATCCATTGTATTTCTAACTTAAACTATTGTGTTGATGTCTTTTCAAAATTAAAGCCTTTTCTCAATTAGAAGGTATTGTAAGTGAGTTTAAATAACCATATATGTTATCATGCATTATTAATTCTAAGTTCACAATTAATTTGTTAGAGAAATACAAATATAGCATCTGTCTTTAAATCATCAGGCATCTGAATATCATCCATAATTTATAAAATAAGACATATCCGAACTTATTTCTAAGTATATATAATAAGTATGCTACAGAAATTCTATCAAGAAGCCTATTCTAGGCACCTCACGATTTACTCGCATAGGGATTTGCGAATAAACATTTGTATAGATATGTAGTAAAACAGACCAAAGCATTCTATATTCATAAAACAAAAATGGGCAAATTGAACGTAATCACCTCTACCTTGTTTTTCGTGTTGCAGATTTTGAGACTTCATATTCAAGTTTCATAATAAAAAACTACTTTTGGCGATTTTTTTCCGTATGATTTATATAGAAATGATTTCCTTTCATAAATGCCAGCTTCTTATTAAAAAATTATTGTTTTTAAAGTTATTTTTCATAGAAATGTAATGTGTCGCTCTTGGTGTCAGATTTTGCGTCTCAAGGGAGTGAGGCATTTATTAAAATAAGGATAGATTTGCCTATAATTCGGTCTTTATCTCACCTCTTTTCATATTCAATTATTTGTTAACTTTGATCTTTAATCTTTTTCTCTATTTATCACATTAATGACATTAATAACAATGAAAAGGTATATTCAAGATAGAAAATGATTTGCATATATATCTTTTAGCTCAATACTAATATCATTTATGTATGAATAACTATGACAGATCATGCAAGTATTAAAATATGCAGCAGCATTTCATTTTTAATGACCATAGAAACAGATTAATGCCAACGTGATCTATATTTATACTTTCCTTAAGGAAAACTAGAAGATAAATATAGTTTAGTGGAAATTTGTTTTCTTTTACAATTTGGATGAATGAAAGAAAATCAGTAGCCAGGTTATATTCTTCTAGATTTTTAATTGCTGTTTTATAATCGTTAAAAGGCATCTTCTTCAGGTCCTATTTAAGTTTTATTCTCATTTGTAAATATAGATGTTTGTGTGTATTTATGTGGAGTGAGTAAGAGAATTCATCTCGGAGTAAGTCATATTTGTGGTGTGCTTTGTAGTGGAAACTGGTGAAGAAATTTGATGAAGTGTGGCTTTGGCTTCGGGCAAATCTTATACAGAGGTCTGCTTTGTGATTTTGATCCAATGGTTTGGTTCATTAAGCCATAGCCTTGAATTTTCTAATCATGATTGTAATTGGAAAGGAAAACAAATCGTATTCAGGTATAAAACAAAACACTATGAGGCTTTTTTCTATTTCTAACATTAAAAATTCACATTCCTTAAACAACTAAAATATGGGCTAAATGAAATACCTTAAGTTTTTAATGAGTCATCATAATAGAGGATGTGTGTTTGAAATACCAACTGTCAGATAAAGACCGAATTATAGGGCGAATCTATCCTTATTTTAATAAATGCCTCACCCCCTTGAGACGCAAATTCTGACACCCCGTGCGACAAATTACATTTCGATAACAATTAACTTTCAAACAATATATTTTTACTAAGAAGCTGGCATTTGGTTAAATTCTATGGAAGGAATTCATTTCTATGTAAATCATACGGGAATAAAATTGCCAAAATTTGTTTTTTTATCCTGAAACTTGCATATGAAGTCTCAAAATCTGCAACACGGAAAAGTAGGGAGAGGTGTTTGCTAAAACGAAGCATTGGAAACGTCTGCTTCTGCTTGCTGGAAATAGATTATGGCTCTATTCCTTACGTGCAATACATTTTTTGGTGCTAACAATTCTAAAAAAAAGAAATGTTGATACTTTTACTTACCTTGATCGCTTTTTCTCCGCTTCAAAACCACCACCCCGTGTCAAACATAACCAACACCCCGCATATGGCGTTCTACACGTTGAGAATTAAAATAAAATCAAACTTTTTTAAGATGTTATTTCTTGATCTTGAAGATTCGCTTCAGTCCAAATCTAATAATATTCCATACAGTTTTACAAATTCATCATGTCAAAAACATTTAATCCAAGATTGTCTGTAAATGTTAACTAGAAAAAAAAACCATTTATCAGTAAAATACGGGAAAATAAGAATATATATCTTAAAGATTTTGCTTTGGATACTGTCTTTTGGTCATAAAAAGCTTCTGTATTACACAACGTTTTGACAAAGTTATTGACGTTTTTTTAAAATGTCACAGGCTCGACAAAAACATGCCCATATTGTACATGTCTATATTGGAATTCTTGCTTTGTCTATATGCCATTTTGTTTTTCTTTGTTGACATATTTATTGGTTTTTATAGTGATTAAGATTATAACACAATGTTGACTGCTGTACACCTATTGTTTACATTTTAACCTATTATATCTGTTTGTTTTGTTCACACATTGTTGTCAATATAATGGAATTGTATGCGACTGTCATGCAAGTAAGAGGTTTAGCTAGCTATAAAAAAAATGCCTGTACCAAGTCTGGAATATGACAGTTGTTTTCCATTCGTTTGATGTGTTTGAGCTTTTGATTTTGCCATTTGATAAGGGACTTTCTGATTTTAATTTTCCTTGGAGTCCGGTATTATTGTTATTTTACTTTTTAATATTGATTTTAAAACGATGTTGACATATTTATCTTATTAACATTGCCTGATTGTGAAAGATGCTTTTAACAAATATCTTTTGTACGTATGCTGTGAAGTATAGGGTCAGACACTCGGGCACTGTTCGTTCTATCTTGCTATGATATTACCTGCATACATTCTCGATTATATATATAATGTTGCTAGAGGTAAATGATTTGAAGGGAGTTAACATAAAAAAAAAACATTACTTCAAAATTATAAAAGGATCATCGCGTTTGTTGTTTTTTTTCTTCTAGCTGTTAGCTAGAATGTATTCCGTTAACAGCCGACATACACAAAAAGACATTTCTTAAGATATGATCCGCCTGAAAAATAGGCACTCCGTCTCGTATTAGAATAACACCAAGTAGAGAAGAGAGCACTGTCGGTTCCCATATGAATGCTGAAAATCTGCTTCAAACAATTCAAATATGTTTTTGAGGTGAAACCCTAGCATATATGCCCAGCATTAAAAACATTGTTTTTTGGCTGTATCATCATGATCTTGGAAAAAAATAATTAAAGAGGCATTAGCGACGAGATATAAAAAAAAATAAAATATACTTTTTTTTTTTGTTCAATCATTAAAGGGGCATTAGCTAAGAGATTTGAAAAAAATGTAAATATGATTTTTTTTTTGTCCAATCAGTAATGAAAGTGAGACAGTGAAATAATAATTCGCTTAAAGCAGCCAATTTGGTTCAATTTCGTTAAAATAAGCTAAGAAACATGGTTAGTGAATTATTCACTTGCAAGTGAATAATTCGACCTCATTGAATCCGTATGCATGTGACCTTCAATTTAACCCCTTAGCTGGACATGGGTAACGCATGTATTCAGCTATTAAAAGGAAAAGAAAGATGGATGAACCATTTGGTTGACTGATTCGATCCACACAAAATCATTCTTAAAAGGGTAAAAGCGATGATTAACATACTTTTTAACCTTCAATATGAAATCAAACAGACTAAGAAAAATCCAATTGCACGTGGTCAATATCTGTTTATATTCATATTTATGTTGAAATCGGGTTATATGACCGTCGGCTCTCTTCGGATGTCATCTCGATGGTTACTTAGATGGCGTTTTAGACAAAAATACACACGAAATGTTAGTACATATTATCGAGTTCATGCCTGTAAATTGTTTATTTTAGACTTTATGACATTTGGATATACGTTTTAGTATGTTATAAATCAAATATGTGAACATGAATTCGACAGCTAATGCTCCTTTAATAAAAGTGAAATAAGAATTAGCAATTTGGTTAAATTTTGTCAAAATAAGCTAAAAACATCGTTAGTATTCACTTGCAAGTGAGTAATTCGACCTAATTCAATCCTTATTCATTTGACCTTCAATTTAACCCCTTATTTGAAAATGTGTTACGCATGTATTCAGCTATTAAAAGGAAAAGAATGTCAACATTGAAAGTGTAACAAGGATGAACCATTTGATTGACTGACTCGATCGACAAAAAAATCATTCTTATACAGGTAATAACGATGATAAACATACTTTTTAGCCTACAATATGAAATCAAACAGACCTAGAAAAATCCAATTGCACGTGGTCGTTTTCTATTTATATTCATATTTATATAGGTTATATGACCGTCGGCAGTCTTCGGAGGTCATTTCGATGGTGAATTCGATAACGTCTAGACAAAAATACACACGAAATGTTGATACATATTATCAAGTCAATTCATGGTAAATTGATTAATTTAGACTTTTTGACATTTGAATATACGTTTTAGTATGTTATAAATCAAATATGAGAATTTGAGTCAAATCTGTAAACATGAATTTGACAGCTGATGCCCCTTTAAGTAAAATCAGTGTTCACATGTAAGGATCAGATTTATTTGCAATACAGTAAATTAAAATTTCCCTTAATGAATATTACGAGGACTATTTAAGACTTCAGTTACAAGCAAGATAATATAAACTGTTGCTTAAAATAATATTCATACACAAAATGTTTAATTTTTTAACAGGAGCTCTGAGAAAACCCACAAAAGACTACTTCAATATGCAGGTTTACAATGCGGAAGATGCACAGGTACTTAGGAATGTCCACAACCATTCAGGAGGA